GCCACCCCCGAGGAGAGTCGCTCGACCTGACAGAGCCCCCTGGCCGCTCGGCGGCGTCAGCGCTTAACATTTCCGCCAGGCCCGGACCCTCCGTGAGCCCGCTGCTCCCCAGTGCGCCTGCGCGGGCGTCCTGGTGGAGCGGGGCGGACTACAAATCCCAGCGTGCACTGCGTTCGACGGCCACGGCGCGTCCGGAAGGGGGCGCACTCTGGGCCCCGCCCCGGAAGATAAGGCGTCCCGCGGGCTGCGCGTTTCCTTTCTCGGCCGCCTAGCAAGCAGGTAGGTAACGTCGGCCTGCGGCCTGGTCTCTATCTGCTGCCATCCTTCGCTTTGGGGCCCGCAAAGGATTCGGCCGACTCACCTGAGACTGCGCCGGCTCGCGCAACTGAGGGCGGGGACGCGGAGGGCGCGCGGCCTCGGAGTGGGTCTCGGGGAGCCGAGATGGCAGGGGTGCCTGGGCCGCTTGGCGCTGACGGTGAGCTCTTCCAGACCCGCCGCCATGGGCCGCGTGATCCGTGGGCAGAGGAAGGGCGCCGGTTCGGTGTTCCGCGCGCACGTGAAGCACCGCAAGGGCGCCGCGCGCCTGCGCGCCGTGGACTTCGCTGAGCGCCACGGCTACATCAAGGGCATCGTGAAGGTGCGGGGCGCTGGCGGGGAAGGGCGGGAAGATGGGGCGCTCCGCCGGAACCCCGCGCTCATGCCGCCTGGGCCCGCAGGACATCATCCACGACCCGGGCCGCGGCGCGCCCCTCGCCAAGGTGGTCTTCCGGGACCCGTACCGGTTTAAGAAGCGGACCGAGCTGTTTATCGCAGCCGAGGGCATCCACACGGGCCAGTTCGTGTACTGCGGCAAGAAGGGTGAGCTGGGAGGCGGGGCGTGCTGGGGTTCGGGGCTTGCAGAGGAGCCCACAGCCTTGGTCGGGCAGGGTGTGCCTGGCAGAATGGGTCGTCTAGAGGCTGTATGAGGACGCCGGACCTGGGACGCCGTGCTCACCACAGGGAGTTGCCCCAGAGAGTGGGTTTGGGAGCCTTTGGCGGCACTGACCGTCTGGCGCCGTGTCCCCATGCAGCTCAGCTCAACATTGGCAATGTCCTACCTGTGGGCACCATGCCTGAGGGCACGATCGTGTGCTGCTTGGAAGAGAAGCCAGGGGACCGGGGCAAGCTAGCTCGGGCCTCCGGGAACTATGCTACTGTCATCTCCCACAACCCGGAGACCAAGAAGACCCGAGTGAAGCTGCCCTCAGGCTCCAAGAAGGTCATCTCCTCTGCCAACAGAGCTGTGGTTGGTGAGTGCCGGGCAGGGGTTGAGTGCTGAGGGCATCGGGTCCACAGGCCTAGAGCCCCTGGGACAGCTAGGGCCAATACCTAGTCGCCAAAGCTGGCTCCCTTACCTGAGAGCTTGGGCTCTGAACTGGAGCGCTTCTCAGTCCCTGCGCCACTGCTGTCAGTCAGACAGGGAGGTAGTACTTAACCCCTGCCCTTCGGGGTTGAATGAGGTTGGCTCAAGCCTCCTAGGACTTGGTGAGGTAGATAGTTGTCTACTTTGGCACGACCTGTGGTTCTTGGTTTAACAGCGTTTTCATAGAATGGAGTTAGGGGTTTGTGATGATTCTCTAAGACACCTAATGAATGGGGAAGGATTTGGAGCCAGGCCTGTTTACCTTTTGACAAACCTTCAAATCTTTTTGCCAAACCAAGTCCCTGCACAGAGAACCCCTTGAGGCTGTGTATTGTGTTCACAGAATAAGTAAAGCTGAGGTGCAGCCTCCTGGGGCGGCCTCCTGTGTGGTAGTGCAGCTAGGGTTTCAGATGCAGGGGCAGAGAACTTCTCTGGAGACTGGCGCTCAGTAAGTACTTCTATGGCCAGGGTCTTGACCCACCTGCCTAGCAGAGGTTGAAGAAACTTTAAGGCAGTTTATTGGGACAAAGGGCTCTGCAGGGTGGAGGCTGGTTGGTTAAGGCGCTATTGTAGCGTCTGGGTGACTTGAGTGAGGGCTGCTAAGAGAAACAGGGTTGGGACGCTGGCTGGGACTGGGCAGGAGAGGCTCTGCTTGACTGTAAAGTCTAGTGCTGGGGACAGGTGCGATGTACCTCCCTGACTTCTCTCCCCTGCAGGTGTGGTGGCTGGAGGTGGTCGAATTGACAAACCCATCCTGAAGGCTGGCCGTGCCTATCATAAGTATAAGGCGAAGAGGAACTGTTGGCCCCGTGTGCGGGGTGTGGCTATGAATGTAAGTACTCCAGATGTGGAGAGTAGGTTGTCCCGTCACCCCCTTCCACACCAGTAGCTAGTAGTTTGTACTCACAGGGCTCTTGCCTTTGCCATCTTGAAGCTGGTGGGCCCCTTGTGCTAACTAACATCACCTCTTTCCTTTAGCCTGTGGAACATCCCTTTGGAGGTGGCAACCACCAGCACATCGGCAAGCCCTCTACCATCCGCAGGGATGCTCCTGCTGGCCGCAAAGTGGGTCTCATCGCCGCCCGCCGGACTGGGCGTCTCCGGGGAACCAAGACCGTCCAGGAGAAAGAAAACTAGGGCTGGGGGCTCAATAAAGTTTCTTTTGTCACTAGGCTGTACACACTGTAGTTTCAGAGGGAGATTGTGGAGAGGACCATGCTAGAGACCCCAGGTGTGGGAGACGATCAGAGAGGTGGAAACTCTTGAAGGGAAAGTCATAGCTGGAGAGAGAAGGTGCAGGTCCGTTGGGATAGGCTTGTTCCACAAAGAAAGTACAAAACGTTGTCTAGGCCTGGCACTGATGTGGGAGGCTCAGTCTGTGACCTGTAGGCCTTGGATGTAACAGCCGATTTTGCAGAGGAGACTGGACAGGAAATGCACTAGGACTCAGTTCTCAACCTTGGGCTCTGGGCTACACCTTCACTCCATTTGTGTGGAGAATCAACAGTTTCCTCGTGACTCCTGCCAGGCTCAGGGCTGACTTCCCAGCTCTCTGAAGTTGTCTTCTATTTTGCTTATGACACTCTTGTTCCCCCATGGGGTGAGTACAGCCCTGATTCCTGTAGTTGCTGCCTGGGGTGTCCAGCTTGTGTCAGCCTGATAGGTGTCTGCAAGGCTGACTTTTGGACCTTGTCTGGCTTCACAGTTTCTCTTGGCCAGGTCATTGGACTCTTGTAACTCAGTGGGAATGGCTGTCACTCAGCAGTGCTGTTACTTCCAGAGCAAGGTATGCTTCCCATCTGAGTTGGCCTTGAAGCCCTCTGCATGGCATAACCTACAGTTCCTGAGGTAACGGCTTTTTCAGACACTCAGTGAGTGGGGAGACAGGCTGATAAGAGGTGCTGAGATCTCAGGGCCTTGTACCTAATGGAATTCAACAAGGTGGGTTGGTGCAGTGCATACCACTAACAGTCCTGGAGGGCTCGAGAGTGGGGAACAGGTATGTGTCATGTTCCTTACCACGAGGGAGACCAGCCAGCTTTCCAATTCCACATATCTCAGGACAGGCATGCTGAGTAGATCCCAGGGCAGTATCAGATGGGAACCCATTATCTCAACCAGGGTGAGGACTGGCCATTTTGGCATTCTGAGAGAGGGTACAGCCACAGAGAAGGTCCCTGCTAGATGACAGCCTTACTGGCTGGCTGTTGTCTCCTTGTTTTCATGGCCCACACCCATCTAATAGGCTTATCCTACATTTCTCCATCTTGCTTCCCTGGTACTGCTGGTGTGGGTTCTGCTTGCTCTGGACATATAACCCTCCCAGGCAGGGATAGGACTGAAGCTCGTGGTTTCCTGCCCAGAGACAGCATCTGAAACGTGTGGGGAGTGCTACACGTGGTTGGCTGAGTTGGTTCAGACTGGCTGAAGGAGCTTTGGGAAAGCTGAAGCTTCTGAGAAAACCCTGACATCAGACTGTTTCCAGGGGTGCAGCCCTACAAGCTTCTGTTCAGTTCTACCTGGGGTGTATAGCTTGTAAGCACCAACCTGGTGGTATCCTGCAGGGCAGAATAGGGAGCATATACCCCAGGGAAATACCATGGCCAGATTGGTCTGGATTCAATCACATTTGTCCATACTGTAGTACTTTTGCAACCCAGGGGACCATGTGCTGGTTCTGTTTTTGACTGGGAGGAGGGGCAATGGGTTACATTCTTAGGCCAGTAAGCATTCTGGCCTGAGATTTTGATTTGTGCTCCCTTTATGAAAGGACTTTTTTTATACCTGGTGCCTCCCTTAGCTCACAAGGGAGAATTTCCTAGAGTAATCTAGGCAAGCAGGTGGCATGGTGGTTGAGATCCTGGGACTGCATGTGGAACCTGGTGACTTGAAAACTGTGCCAGGAGAAGGAATTGCAGTGTGATTACCCCCTGAGTGAGAGGCAACCCCCCCCCCCCAACCTAAAAGATTACTCTTGGGCCAGTAGGTTGTGCATAGGTTAAGGTTGAGTTGGCTAGATCAATAGCCAACTGCAGTCTGGTGTGTGTGTGTGCACGTGTGTCTGTCCCCCAAAATCTAGAGAGGATAATGAAGGGAGTTGGCTCTAGGCCATCCCTCCTGTCTCATCTGGGAGCACACGCATACAAAAGCAAACATCTTTAAAAACAAAAAAAAAAATCTGGGGACCAGCCCGTGGCTGGTTAAGGACACAGGACTCCCACATGGCAGACTGCCTTCCCCTGGGGGCCTGCTTTCTCTTCCTCTCTGGTCAAATTTTAAATAAATGGATAAATAATAATTCTAAAGGAAAGACTGATCTGTTAACCTACCAATAGGTCACTAAAGCCTCTGGTCGTGGCCTGGGCTGGCCTGGTCTGGGGCGCCTGTGCAGTCAGCAACGCGGCGGCCTCGCCGGCCCTCGGTGCACAGCTGTCAGCTGGGAGCCGGGCGACCACCGAGACGCTGAGCCTTGGTCCCTAGAGCGGCCAGAGCGGCTCCTGGGCCCGGTGGCTCGGCCTGACGCCACTTCCGGTTCCGCCTGATTGGCGGCGTTATAGCTTGGCCGGCGACCAGGGGCTCGTGGCTGGTCTCGGTGATGAGGTGAGTTGCCGTCCGTGGGAGCCACAGACCTTCCCCCGACGCCGGCCCTCGGTGTGGTTCCGGGCTGTGGTCTGTCCCGCCGTCGTCGTCCCCGGCTTGTCCGGCATCAGGCAGCCCCGCTCCCTGCCGGGCCTCCCTCCCTCGGTCAAACCCCGTCCCGCGCTGTTCCCACCCCTAGCTCCTCACGGGCTTCCCCCCGCCGCCTGGCGGTCTCCCCGGACCCCCTCGCCAGGCCGCGCCTTGGCAGCTGTCGTGTCCTAGGACCTGTCGACGGAAAAAAATAACCAACTGTAAAATTAATAATTAAAACGATTTTTTTCCAAGCCAACTGTGAGTGACCTAGGCCGGAGAAGAGGCATAAGATGCCTTTTGTCGGGGTGATCATGTACAGAGCTTCCTTTTATTTGCTTTTGAGATTGACAGACAACATTTCAGGAAGAGATTTTCCCATTGGTCTGGCCCAAAAAGGCGGGACATGTAGAAGGGGGAGCGGGCTTGTAGATTATAGGTGGGTTCCACAATTTCTAGGTTGGTGATTGGAAAGGAAGATCTGTATCTTGGGAAGAGATTAGTTAAAGAAAGGCTTAATCTACATCTCAAGGAAAAGGGAAGTTCTGTGTCCTGGGAAGGGATAAGCAAAAGAATATACTGTAATTGGTTGAAATATACATCTCAAAGATATTATGCCAGGAACAGGAGGTAGGAAGAATCCTGTTAATAGAAAATAAATGGTCTGTTAATGTTTGTGGCTATGACTTCCCCAGTCTCCTTTTGAAAAGATTTTGGAAAAAATAGGAAAAGTAGTCAGACCTCTGTCCACAGACCTCTTCCTCCTGGTGACCCTTCGCTCCCTGCGCGGCTTTCACGTGTTCCTGCATGACCGGCTCCTTTGTTAACCTCCAGTACACTTTGACCCTGTGCCCAGCAGCTGTTGCCCCTCACATTTTCTGCAGCTCTTCGCAGCCAAATTTCTCATTTTCATTTTTGCTTCTTTTTTAAGTTTTGGTTTAGGGTGCATGTGCTAGAGAGAGAGGAGAGAGTGTGTATTTGAACACCTCCCCGGGGCATGGCCACACTGCTGTCTGTCCATTCTCTCCAGACTGGCGGTTGGGCTTGGAAAGCCGCCAGGTCCGGGACTTAAACTGTTGGCCTTATGGGATCCAACCGCATCAACCACCACACCAACTGGCCCTTCACATCAGTTCTCATTTCTCAAGGCCTGAGGGCTTTTAATTGCCCCTGTGTCTTGTGCTTATATATATATATATATATGAATATGAATACTTTGAAATGTTTTTAAAGAATTATTTAACTTTATTTATTTATTTTAATTTGACCAGAGAGGGACCAAGAGAAGAGACAGAGGGAAGGAGGGAAAGTGAGAAAGCAAGCCTCCAGGTCTGGGACTCAAAACTGCGACTGGCTATGCAGGATTCCAGTATCCTTAACCACCATTCCATTTTCCGGCCCCTATACTTTAAAATCTTAAGAGAGAACTTTGAAAATAAAGAGTATATTGCAAATGGATTAACAAGCACAGTGACCAGGACAGATCACCCAGTTCTCCCACATAGGAGACCCCCCACGTGGCCAACTACAGTTTGAGCCTCAGACTTTCTCACTTTCTCTCTCTTCCTCCCTGTTCAAATTTAAAAATAATAATACTTTTTTAAAAAAGAAAGAAAACCTGAGGCCAACTGGTGGCATGGTGGTAAGGTGCTGGACTCCCCTGTGGCAAACTGCTTTTCAAGTCCCATACCTATTGACTTGCTTTCTCACTTTCTTGCTCTCGTGAGCACACATGTCATATAGCACATTGAAAAATAATAATAATAAAAATTATTTTTTTTAGAATTATTTTATTTGACTTTTATTTATTTATTTGAATTTGTCCAGAGAGGGACAGAGTGAGAAAGTGAGAAAGCAAGCTGTGGGGCCGGCAAGTGGTGTGATGGTTGGGGGGCTAGACTCCCATGGTTTGAGTCCCAGACCTGGAGGCTTGCTTTCTCACTTTTTCTTTTTCTCTGTCTGTCTCTAGTCAAATTTTAAAAACATTAATAACATGGCCGGCAGGTGGCATGGTGGTTAAGGGTGCGGGACTACAGCATGGCCAACCGTGGTTAGAGTCCTGGACCTGGTGGCTGGCTTTTTCACTTTCCCTCTCTCTCTCACACTCTGTCACTCTCTGGTCAAATAAATAAATAAACAAGTAAATAAATAATTCTTTAAAAGAAAATAGTAATAACAAATGGAATTTTTTATTTGTTTATTTGTAGAGGTTTTTGCTGTAGAATGCGTGTGCTCACCAGAAAGACAGAAACAGAGAGACAGAAAGTGAGAAATCACCCGCCAGGGGGATGGCCATGCTGCAGTCTCTTCTTCATTCTTCTCTCAGGATCTTGGGCACGTATGCATGCACATGCGCCCAGTGTGAGTTTAAGCCATTAGGTCCGGGACTTGAACCGCTGTCGACTACATGGGAGTCCAGCAACATAGCCATTACGCCATCTGCTGATCCCATCAACAAATGGAATTATAAATAAATAAATAATTAAAAAGAAAATGAGGCACCAGGTCTGGGACTTGAACTGCAGTTGGCCATGTGGGAATCTAGAGCCTTTAACCACTACACCACTGCTTGAACTGTAGTCAACTACATGGGAGTCCAGTGACATAACCATTGTGCCATCTGCTGGTCCTGTAGTATTTTTAATGTTAGGGAATGGATGTGTGTATGTACACATGCATGAGAGAAAGAAAGAAAGGGAGAGAGTACACACATCCTTAATAGGTTCTAGTCACTCAGTAATCCTGTTTTTGTCTAATTCTGTGTCTGTCAGGATCCTGGGCACATGAGCCAGTGCCTAATGGACACATAAAGAACCAGGACTCAAACATCAGTTGGCACTGTGGGATCCAGCTTCCTCTACGCAGTTCCTATCCAGTACACTAAGAAGCTGGTCTGTGGTATGTGGTGTTTTGTAGTATTCAATGCTTATGTTGAAAACAATGTATATTCTCTCTATTTCATATACAGAGTTCTTCATCTGGCCCACTTGTTTCTGAGGGAAACATGTTAGAAAGTTCTCATTCCAGAGGAGGATTAGCCAGTAGTTCTTTGGTAGATATATACATGGTTTGTAATTATTATTATTTTATTAATTATTATTAAAATGCAGTGTCTGTTTTTGTTTCTGGTAATGATTTTTACTTCAATTCTGCTTTGGGTTCATGTATGTGCAGGAAAATGACATTGTAGTATTTAAGCTCACAAATACCATGTGGAGGGGCAGCATCCAGGCACAGAGAACAGATTGCATGATTGTCTGCATAAAGTCCTGCACAGATACAGCTGACTTGTGGAGCTGGAAGGAAGTGACTACAGGGTCAGGAGGGCATCTGTGAGCAGGTCCTGCTCATTCATGACCCTGGTGCCAGCTCCATTGTCTTGTGCAGAGCTGTGTACTTGGGAACTGTTGCCTTTCTATAGAAATCTTATGTTTTTATAAAGGCTGCAAGAAACAGACCAGCAAGTGATGTGGTGGTTAAGGTGCTGGACTCCCACATGGCCAACCACAGTGCCAGTCCCAGACCTGGTGGCTTACTTTCTGATTTTTCCTCTCTCTCTGTTGAGCACAAGTGCCCTGTGGCAAATTAAAAAAAAATGAGTTGTCAGAAAAGTCATGATGTATTTTTCTATGCAAAAATGCATCACGACATTTCTGACAATCTAATAATAATGATTTAAAAAAAGGAAAATAGAGCTGGCTACACAACTTTATTTTGACTAATGTTTTTCTGGTCTGTCTTTACTATCTTCAGCCTTTCTGTGGGATTTTATTTTAGGCCAAATAGCGGCACCACGTATATATGATTGAGCATTTGATGCTTCTAGTAGGTGAATTTTGTCTTACGTCTTACCATTGCTCGCCTGCTGGTGCTTGTGTTTACTAATTTGGTGTTATTTATGGTCTATACGTTGTATTTGTCCTGTGCCTTCTAGAATACTATTTTCTTCCTCAATCCTAACATTTAGTCTTTGTGCTTCCACACAAAGAGAATGAGTGTTGCCATCTTCTTCAACAAGGCAACTCCAGTGAGGAAGAGGAGGCAGATGATTTGAGAGGCTGTCTCCATGGGCAGTGGAGTGGGTTGAAGAGGACAGTCCCAGGCAGGAGCCTGTGCTAGGGAGGCCAGGGATGTCCGTGTGGGGACTCCATGGTAGGAACCCCAACCAGGGAGGGCACAGTAGTCAGGGCTGTTTAAGGGTGCACCAAGCAGCTTGAGCTGTGGAGAAAGGGGCTGGCCAGGCCACCATGTGTTTTTTTCTCTTTCCTAGAACCTGAGTGACCAACTCCCGCCTCTACCAAGGAAGCCCAGGGCAGGGGTGATGGCAGCCTTACTCCAGCCCCAGGTGAGCGTCTGTCCTACGAGTTGTCACACAGGTTGCTTTCCTCAGCAACCACTGTCAGGTGTCTCTGGTCTGGGGTGCTGACATCAAAGGAGAGGTGACCCTTGGACCTGCCTGCAGCCACACCTTGGGACACATTAGCAGGAAAGGGTAGTGACACTCCCTATCTGCTGGGCTTGAAACACTTCTGCTGCCTTCTGTCTCCCGGCATCAACTCTGGGCCATTCTTGGGGCTGAGTGGTGTCTTCTCATTCCAGGCCGAGGTGACTTTTGAGGATGTGGCTGTGCTCCTCTCCTGGGAGGAGTGGGCCCACCTGGGCCCTGCTCAGAGGGGCCTCTACAGGGATGTGATGCTGGAGAACTACAGGAACTTGATCTCAGTGGGTAAGGCCCCTCGCTGGGACTCAGTCCTGGGAACAGCCCTGGGGACTGAGAGCTCATCAGGGGCTTGCCTGGGGCCCCAACCTGGGGCCCGGAGGTGGACAACATCGACACTGGTCCCAGGCAGGCCTGTTCGGGGAAGTGGAGGACATGGGTGGTGCAGGGACCCTCTGAGCTCCCGGAGGAAGCGGACCTGTGCTGCAGGCCTGGTGCACACTGCTCTCCAGCAGGAACTCACACCTTCAGTGGAGACAGCCCTGAGCTCTTGCTCCCTGTGCTAGTACCTCCATCTTCATGACCATCCTAGCCCATTCACAGCCTCCTCCAGAGGGCATCCTGGTTCCCATCAGCCCCTGCCTGTGCTTCCCTTCCCCACAGCCCCAGGTGAGACATCACTGGGTGCAGCCACACACCAAGGTCCTTGGAACCAACCTCAGGCCTGTCTCTCCCAGGCGCAGGACCTGCAAGTCCCAAGCCTGGAGTGATCTCACAGCTGGAGCGAGGGGATGAACCATGGGTCCTGGATGAGCAAGGGACCAAGGGGGGAGAGCAACTAAGAGTCACCAGCCCAGGTGCGTGAGGGGAACTGCTCTCTCTCCTCAGTCATTCAATGAACATCTTAGGTCCAAGGCATCTGGCAAATGATTCGGGACTTTGAGCAAGACATATCAGGGCCAGCATGGACGCCTCTGCTGAAGTCACCTCTGTGAGCCTGGATGCCTCGGTGGGAAGAATCTTGAGCAGAATTTTCTAGGAAGGTGGAGATAGTGTTGGGGACAATATGGCAGGGCTTTCCAGGCAGAGCAGGTTCAGAGGAGAGTGAGTAGGAGTACTGTGAAGGAAGCCTGGGATCACATAGGACCCTACAGAGCTCATTCCCTATGGGGAAGGTCAGATGAAGGTGTAGTCATGGAGATCATCGCTCATTTCCCTTCTTCCTAAATAACTAACCCACTTGACAATCATAGATCATTTTGAGAAGATGGGAGAACACATTTCCCATGAATCTTGCCCCTTAGATGCAGCTGTGTTCTATCCTATTCCCTGTTCCTTCTCTAGGGCTGGCATTTCCACGGCCATGTTTGAACACTGCATTTTATCAGGAAAGGTCCAGGTGCTGTGTCATGCACCCACTTTCAGTGAAAAGCATTTCCATTTCTGTGTACACAAGCCTCAGTCACGCTTTCAGTGGGAGTATACCAGAGACCACCTGGCTTCTCTGCTGTGGACAGCCCTGATGATCATCTCTCTGCATGTGTGTCTGATGATCTCCTAGGCAGGAACACCTGGCCCAAAGGACTTGTAATTTTGTTTTATAAATTTGCTTTTTTGAATATAAATACTTATAGGAATGAGAAGAATCCCAAGTTTTTCTTTTTCTTTTTTTTTTTTGAGAGGTTTTTCCTATAGGATGTGTACATTTGCCAGAAAGGCAGAGAGAGAGAGCGACAGAAAGTGAGAAATTACCCCCTGGCAGGATGGCCACACTGCAATCCCTTCTCCATTCTCTCCCTGGGATCTTGGGCATGCATGCACACGTGCCTGGCATGAGTTTAAGCCTCTGGGCCTGGGACTTGAACCGCAGTTGACTACATGGGAGTCCAGTGACATAGGCATTGCGCCAACTGCTGTTCCCAAAACCCCAAGTTTTTCTGAGGAACTCAGTGAATTTTTATGAAAAACTATTCTCTGGATATAAATGAGGATATATTGGGCTATCAGGCAGCATGTTTGTTAAAGCACTGTATTCCCACATGGCTGACCACTGTCTTGAGTCTGGTGGTGTGCTTTCTCACTTTCTCGCTCTCTCTGTCTCTCTGTAAGTGCTCGTGCCCTATAAAAATTAAACAATAATAGTAAATAAAAATAACTATTTTTTTTTTTTTTTTTTTTTTTTAAAAATTTTTTTTATAGGGACCGGGCCACCCCCACACACCAGAGACAGAAAGCGAGAAATCATCCCCCTCAGCGGTGATGGCCATGCTGCAGTCTCTTCACCTCCAGTATCCTCCTGGGATTTTGGGCAGGCATGCACCTATGCCCAGCATGAATTTAAAGCCACTTGATCTGGGACTTGAACTGCGGTCAACTACATGGGAGTCCAATAATGTAACCATTATGCCATCTGCTGGTCCTAATAATTTTTTTAAAATTTAATTTGTTTATTTAACATTCATTCACTGAACATTATCATAGTGTGCAATATGTAATTTCCCATTCAGAATACATTGTATAGTGGCTTAATCATACATATTATCATCAACAAATAAATTTCCATTTCTTGTTTCATATATGTATGTATGTATGTGTGTATATATATATATATATATATATATGCACACATATATATTTTCCTCCTATTTCTCATCCTCTGCTACTTTGCAACCTCCTCCCACAATGTCTGATATCTACAATTGCTTTCATTCCTCCCCTCCCAATTTTATTGATTCACAAAATATCTTAGTTAATCTAAGTACTTGCAATAGCAAGTTCAGCTGATACATACGTATCTGTGAACACATGTTTGACTTTAGGCATGAGACTCTGAGTAGAATGAATGTACTTTAAAGTAGTACCCGGCTGAGGCTATATAGCTTACGGTGGTCATTGGATAGGTAATTAAAAAAAATATTTTATTTAACTTTATTTAATTTGACGAGAGGGACAGAGAGAGTGAGCAAGCCACCAGGTCTGGGACTCAAACTATAGTCGGCCATGTGGGGAGTCCAGTACCCTTAACCACCATGCCACCTGCTGGTCCCTAAATAGATATTTTAAAATATATTTTTTAATTTAAGGAAAGGCAGTTTTGGGACCAGCAGTTAGCGTAATGGCTATGCCGTTGGACTCCCATGTAATCGACCACGGTTTGAGTCCTGGACCCAGTGGCTTAAACTCATACCAGGCGTGTGTGCGTGCGTGCCCAAGATCCCGAGAGGAGAATGGAGGAGAAGGGATTGCAACGTGGCCACCCCCCGTGGGGACTGATTTCTCGCTTTCTGTCTCTCTGTCACTCTCTGTCTGGCGAGCACACACACCCTATAGGAAAAACCTCTCCAATACAAGAAAAAAAAAAAAGACAGTTTTAGCTTTAATAAATCAAAGTCAAAAAATGTTAAGAGAACTTTGCTTAAGACTTAAAACCAGGAAACAGATTAGGATTCTGTTCAAGTAGTAGGTTCCTGGACCTGTGGACAACTCAAGACAAAAGTCCTTAACTCTGGAAAACAAAGCATAGAAGATCAGTGACGTTTTAGTCAAAAGGCATACAAATCTATTTGACCAGTTCACTCTCCTGTACTTTATCTTCTGTTGTGGTCTGATCTTTCTGTTTTAAGCTGCCAGGTCCAAGACTCAAACTACTGTTGATCATGTGGGAGTCCAGTACCCTTAACCACCATGCCACCTGCCAGCCCCAATTATTTCTTTTTTTATTTCTTTTAAAATAATTATTTTATTTAAATTTATTTACTTACTTTAATTTGACCGGAGAGCAACAGAGTGAGAGCGAGAGAGAGAGAGAAAGAGAAAGGAAAATTGAGAAAGCAAGCCACCAGGTCCAGGATTTGAACCACAGTTGGCCTTGTGGGAGTCCAGTACCATTAACCACCATGCCACCTGCTGGCCCCATAAATAATTTAAAAAAAAAAATCTTTAGCTCAGGGCCAGTAGGCAGCATGGTGGTTAAGATACTGGATTCCCACATGGCTGACAATGGTTTGAGTCCAGGACCTGGCTGGCAGCTGGTTTTGGGGCATGCATGCCAAGTGTGTGTGCATGCATACCCCAGATCCCAGGATGAGAATGGAAGAAAATGGATTGTGGCATGGCCATTCCCTCACGAGGATGATTTGTCACTTTCTCTATATTTCTGGTTAGTACACATGCCCTATGGCAAAAACCTTAAAAAAAAAAAAATTCCAGTTCTGCAGTAGCACCTGTCCCCCAGCAACTTCCTTCTGACACTGTTAGACTCACACAGGGCATCCTGTGCTGGATGCTGTGAGGGTTGCCCATGTCTTATGTAGTAGCATTGTGATCTGCATTTTTGCCAGTGTTCTACTATTGAACAAACACCCTCACAACCCATGGATGTTTTCTCTTCTTCATGAGGATGTTTAATTGTCTTCAGTTAGGGGCTATTGGATAAGAGCTGCTGTGGATGTTCTTTTTTTTGTCTTTCTCTGGTGCACAGAGTATTTTTAGTGGGTGCATGCCTGGGAGGGTAGACTCTGAATCGTAGGATGTGCAAGAATCAGCTTTACACATGGCCGACAAACTATTTTCCAAAGCAGTGGTTCTTGACATAGTCCTGGGTGGTGAGCGAGCTCTGTGTGCTGCACACATACTGGCAGACACTTGCATTGTCATGGGACCAGGCATGGAACAGTGATGACAGTGACCATCTGAGTTCCTAGCATCTGAGACTCACTTCACTGTGCCCGAGGCTGAGTGTATGACAGTCTGTTGTTTAATTCCATTTTATTCTCATGACAGTGCTAGATAGGGGCAGCTAGTGTGACCCCTGTTTTTTAGATGGGGTGGGAGGAATAGGTAGTGGGAACTAGCCCCTTGGCCTATTGGTTAAGAGAGTTGGAGCTAGAAAATCCCTTCATGGCTACTGAGAACTAGTGATTTCAGGGGACCAGGAGAAATGAAGATTTTCCACTGATAATTCAGCCTCCAGCCCTCAAACTCGCGTGATTGAACTTCAAGTTTGGGAAGAAACACACTTTCCATCAGATGACTAGAAATCACCGCAGGACCACAATATGGGAAAGCAGGAAAATACCTCTCCCCCAAGGGAAAAGAATGGCTCCTCTTCATCCACAGAGAGTTCAACAGAAACCATGGAAATGTCTGTTAAAGAATTTAGAACATTCATAATGGCGAAGCTAACAGAGATGGAAGTAAAGAGAGACAATGAACTGCAGAAGAGAAAGGAAAAAAGGAGCTGACAAGTGCTGGGAGGTGAGGAAATTCTTGCAAGATCTAAAAGAGGAATTATACACTTTACAAAAGAATCAAATGGAATTGTTAGAGATAAGGACTATAATACAGGAAGTCAAAATCTCTCTTGAAAGTATAAAAAGCAGACAAGATCATACAGAAAATAGAATCTCAGATGTAGAAGAGAAGATTGCTGGCCTAGAAAAATCCGCTATGAAGACTGAGAAAATTGGGAACCAGCAGTTAGCATAATGGCTATGTCGCTGGACTCCCATGTAGTCGACTGCGGTTCGCGTCCCAGACCCGGTGGCTTAGAACTCACACCGTGCCCAAGATCCCAGGAGGAGAATGGAGAAGGGATTGCGGTGTGACCATCCCCCCTGGGGGGGGTGATTTCTCCCTTTCTGTCTCTGTCTCTCTCTCTCTGGCGAGCGCACGCACCCTGTAGTGAAAACCTCTCCAAAAAAAGACTAAGAAAATTGCCCCCGAAAATGAGGATAATATATGAGAAATAGATACCATCAAACGTCCAAACATCTGGATAATAGCCATCCCAGAAGGCGAAGAGACACATAATGGCATTGATAATCTATTCCATGAAATCCTGCAAGAAAACTTTCCAAACCTAAGGAGGCACTCAAAGATCCAGGTCCAAGAATTACAAAGGATCCCAAATAGAATCAACCCAAGAAAATCTTATCCAAGTCACATTATAGCCAAATTGACCAAAACCACAGACAAAGACAAGATATTAAGATTGGCAAGAGAGAAACAGCAAGTTACCTGCAAAGGATATCCCATCAGACTAACAGCAGACCTCTCATCGGAAACAATGAGAGTGAGAAAAGAAGGGGAAAATATATTCAAAGTGTTAAGGGAAAAGCAATTACAACTGAGAATACTCTACCTGGCAAGATTATCCTTCATATGGGAAGAAAAGACAACATTCTCAGATAAACAAGACCTGAAAGAATTTACCAGCACCAGACCAGATCCCCAAAAAGTTCTCAAGGGAGTGCTATGTCAGGAAAGTTAAATGTAGTCACACAGAAATAAAAGTTCAAAAACTAAGAAAATGACCAACTTAATCATAGGGACAAGTGTGGAGTTGAATATTATATCCCAGAATTCAATCGGGAAGATCGAACCACAACAGAAGATTGATTTA